TTAAAGCCGTTGTTGTCTATTAATTTTAAAACTACACATACATTTTTCATGTTATTGTAGCATCAAATAATCTCCTAAAAAAAGGTGTACCACTCCAAATTGTAGTACATATAAATCACAATAAACTACATTCACATTATGTTAAAGAAATTCCCTTAAACTCACTAAAAGCAAGAAAATTATTGTCAGGGCAACAATTGTGTCCTACAACCTCCTCCCCGGCACCCAGCATCTGCAGTAAATTAGGGTATAGTCTATAGCCAACAGCTTGGCATAGCAGGCTGGGTGAAGGATGGGGTTTTGAAGTCACAACTCTTCATTTCCTTTATTCAGACTTAATATTTATTTTCTTAGTGCTTGACATTGGTTCTCCCACACTATGCTTCTTTGTAGAGAGCACATATTGTTATCCCCAATGTACAGATGAGGAAACTGAGGCAGATTGGGGGATTATTCAGAACCTGGACTTGAAAATGGACATTTCTGGCTCCCAGTGCCAAGCTGAGACCACTAGAAATCACATCTCCTTTGTGAGTTTAAAGTGAAACCATTAACAATACCCTGTAGTTTCAATAGTTTGTTATTGTAAAGAAAAGGTTGGAAAGAGTCTACTATTGATGTGCTCCTGGGATCAGAGGCTCCCCCTGATTGAGAACCTGTAGACAGGTCCAAGAGCTCAGTTGGTTACTAAGGGCCTGTAACAGAGAGAGAACTTAAGACAGCCCTGGGCCAAGTTTTGCTGTCAGCCTTGGTGGCACGACCCCATTCATTTATCAACCTTTGTCAATGAGAGCAGAACTAGGCCCTCAGTACAGAACTGCTTTTGAAACTCAGTACTAGTGTATATGGTACTGCCTGAGCATTCACAGCATGCTTGCTTCTGGAGCTGTTCTGATGTGCGCTTTGAATACGGATTAGCTGTAGTAACCATTTGCGCATTATAGATCCATAACACTGAATGCACCACGAAAAGCCTTTGGGTAAAGTCTAATACTGTGCATATGCTTTTTATATCTCGTGTTTGGGTCTGTGGATAAACTAGTAAAACTGCATTTTTTAAAAAAAAAAGATGTTTTCTTTAGTTACAGCAACGCACTGGGAATGAGCAATGTTATTACTCCCAGGTTTGGGAATTCAGAGATGAAGTGTGGTTGTAACACCCCTGCCCCCAAAGCAATGACTGAAGAGCGCTCCCTTTTGCTTCCCAGCTTTTAGCGTGGAGCAAATGTTCTTGGCCACCTTGGGGAACAGGAGCCAGGTCTTAATGAAAGCACCAATAGACCCATAACGAGGACAGCACTGGCAGGTAGCGATTAACAGCCTGGTTCAGAAAAGGCCTGAACTCTTTGCTCTACTGACAGTTAAGCACATGCTCAGAAGCTCTGGTGATCTCAGCTGGAAGGGCCTGATCCAAAACCTACTGAACTCAATGGAAAGGCTCCCAGTGACTTCAGCAGGCTTTGGATCAGACCAGACTTGGACTGCAAGTCAATACAAAGTGTTGCCCAGGTTTCTGGTCCACATGCTTCCTACCATCTCCACTGTGTTTGGAGAAAAACATCTACCAAAGCATCAGGGTATATGAGAGGAAACCAGATAGTCCCTGCAGCTCAGGCAGCCTCCTCTTCTGCAAAACTCGATTTGAATTCTGGAGCGCTGGTAGCAGGGTGCAGAGGCAGAGAGAGAATTAAAATACAGCGTGAGTGACACTTCAGTGCGCTCCTGTGAGGAGAAAGAGCCACTCTGTAAAAATGACAGGCTGGAGCTGAATACATCAAGCTCTCTGCCTTCCCACCTGTGATTTCAGAGCCATATCTGATCTGCAGTTAACGCAGCCTTTGAAAATCAAACTGTCTTCTATTTGATTTGTACTTCACCCTAAACAAGAGCTGGTTTGGGTCTTGGAGCAAAGTAATAATGGGTGATGCATGAAGCAGACAAAACTTGCTTCATTTCCATGTTTCAGACAAAACACAGAAGTGCTTAGAATAACAACAAACCAGATCATAGCCGAAAGAGCTGGGGGTGGGGCACTGAAAAGGCCCTGACTTGTCTCTGAATTGAAGTTTATATGGGAAGCTGGCGCAGCTGACCCCCACACTGGAGAATGTCATTTCATGACACCCTAAAAAAACACGTGAAGAAGAATGGCCCCGGCCAGAGCAGGGCCTGGGACTGAAAACTGTTATTGATGATCTCCCATTCCAGTTTGAGGAGTGCAGCTTGTTCATTTAGCATAAGGTTTAGAGAGAAAGCACCCTGTCAAAGGACCATGAGCCTGCGAAGCAATTCATTTGGAGCAATGGCAGGAAATCGCAGAGCCCTGGCAGACAGCCTTATCCTGCCCCCAGCAAAATCAGCAAAACTTTGCCCACTGACCTCCCTGGAAGCAGGATATCACCAATGGGGGTTTTTTAAATAACATTTTGAAACTGTGGCCACAGGTAAGTAAACGGGTGCCCTGTAATTAAGATTTGTTTTTCACACCAATGTTAAAAGCACCCCTCAACCATACTGCCCCTGACAACCAAGTGATTGTGCACAGAGGTGGTTAGTTAACTCTGCTAGTCTGAAGTCGGGCAGAAGGCAGGGCAGGGCAGCGTATTAGACTAACCAGTTCAGAGCAGCATGAGCATTTGTAGGCAACAACCTACTTGTTACAAACATCTGCTAAAGTAGCTTGCTTCTCCCAACCAGTTAGTCTCTAAGGTGCTGAGGCGCACCTTCCTGTACCTCCCAGCTGAGTACTTGTGGGAACTTTTTCCTGTTGTGGGGATGGGAGGGAGTGATGCTGCCTACTTTCTTAGCTCGACTTGTTTCACATCTAAGAAAAGGCTTTTCACGTGGTGTTGACAAAGTCCATGGATTAATGCATGTACTGCACATGTGTGGGGATGAGAAGGTTGTATCTGGGTGCATGTTTCTCTCTACAAGGAATTTGGTGAGATTTTTTTCTTGCATTGGAGACTGTTTGAAGCAAACATGGAGGATGTTTGTGAATGAATTCCCTAAATGTTGTTACTATGGTAAAGTGGTGTTGAGAAGTGTGAGACCAGTGCAATGCATCCAAACCACTGTGCTAAGTGTATATCCTAGGCCAGAGAAAGTTTGTTTTAATGTTTCTCATCCTCTGCTGTCCTTGTTTTCATTATGCTCCTGGCAGTGGCTGCCATCTGACTCTGAGGAGCTGCCCCTGTGGTGAAATCACAGCCCAACTGCATAGCACACAATCAACTTCACCATTACTCTGACTTGAAGAAAACAAAACAATTCCCCCTCCTCCACCCTCCAAAAAACCACAAAAGAAAAAACTTCATTTTGTTGTTTTGTTTTTAAATTATACAGATGTCTTTGTACTGAGGAGAAACACGGGGAAGCGGGGGAATCCTACATCTGTCATCTATTCTTTTTTAATTTGGGAGGACAAGAAACATTACGTTGTATTTGGCCTCCAAAGCGGGTAGCTGCATGTGTGCATTTCTAAGTCTGAGTTATAATGTTGACCTTTTTATTTTTTATGTATTTATTTATTTTTTTAAGAATCTCAATGGTCTTGTAAGAAACAGTAAAAAGACCCTTTGTTCAAAGAAGCATTCTACCTTCTGTTTTACAGGCTCACTTAAATAAAAGACTTTTTTTGTTGGTTTTCGTATTTTTACTTCCACGATCTTTTGTAATGGAAACCCTAGAATCTCATCAGTACAAAAGTCTGCCTACGCTACCACTTCTCTATAATATGGCTCATGTAGTCCTCAGTGGGCAAGCGTCCTTGCTCTTCTGTCTCTTCCTTGGGAAGTGCTTCATTGGATCGGTGAAGAAGCCTCTCTTCCCGATTCTTTATCCTTTGCTCCATCCTCTCCAGCTGCCGCTTATACTGATAGCGCTGTTGGAAGAGGTCCTTTGCATAGTCATAGAGCTGCATGTCCAAGTCATTAAGCTCCTCAATCCTCCGGATGGTGTTGTTGTCCACCTCCACCCCACCTGCCCTTGTGCTGTTGTACTGCATGAAGGGCCTGATGAATTTCAGATTAAAAGTTCTCTCAAACAGGTACTGAGTCTTCCTCTGGAACTCTGTCAGGCCAAAAAAAGCCATGTCTTTCAGGTTCTTCTTTGCACTCTCTAACAGGATCTGTGCTCGCTTGTTCTCAGGGATGAATGACATGTTGTAGCAGCCCACCAAGCTCAAGTCAGCCAACATCCTCACCTGGCGGTTGTTGGCCAAGTTATATGGGCAATCCATGAACTCCTGCAGCGTACACCCTGACCAGTCTGTGCCTTCATAGCATGATGGCAGCTCTTCAGGGGTCGGTGTCCGACCATCGCACATGTGCAAGGAAGTCTTCCACGTAGCTCCTCTCTGGACGTGTCGCCATTCGCTGAGGTAACGGGACACAGGGTCTCTCAGCAGTGTGATGTAGTAAAATTTTCTAGAAGAAGAAAAAGAAGAAATAAATACTCGGCATGCAACAAGCACAGTCACCTAGCAAGTAAGGCCTAGGACACACATCAAAGAGGACAGCAAGTTAGCAACTCAGCATTTGTTTCATTTACTGCTGATTATTTTCTTCCTAGAATCTGTAATGTGAGGTAATTTAAGACACGCTGGGGCTATATGTCTCTGCCTGGTACTCATTCGTTTCCATTTCAGGCATGCCAAGTCATAACTCACTGTCTCTCTGGGATATCGCTTTCCAGCAACAGAATGCCATGTCGAAACGAATCATCAGAATTCAACTGATCTGCCAACTTTATGGAGCGGCTTTGGCTTTAGGGGTTGACTGGCCTTTCACACTACCGTGCATCTGCAGTCAGCTAGGGCTTGTTCTGTGCCACTGGCCAAGAGCAGGTCTATTTATAAGCGGACCCTATTGCTTTCAGTTTGTGCACCTGTTGAGTGGGCAGCTTACCACTCCTTTGATCTTGCGACCAAGCTGGAACACAGGTGTCCACATTGAGAAGCGAGGCACAGCCCAGAAACCTCCTTTAAAATAGAACAGGGAGGCAGATGGAGAGTGATTCTACCTGCAGCAGCTCAGTCTCACTGCTGCCAGTCCATACGAATTCAAGCAAAACCTAACCAAAATCCACTATTCAAAACACAGCGTAGGTGGGTTTGGAGGTAAGACAATCAAGAGCAATAAAAAAGTCTATGCTCTGAGCACGCTGTAGTGCAATAATGTAAAAAATGGCAGCCTAAACCATGTGTGCTGCATCTGTGGTGAGCAGAGAACCACTGAGGCCTCAGGCCATGGTGTGCTTGGCTACCCAAAGGCTTTGCAACTCAGATGAGAAAGGTGAAGCCCAGGGGTGCTCAACCCCCAGCCTGCATACCAGCTCTCAGCTCCTTGTCATCCAGCCTCGAGGGCTCCCCATGGGTTTGTGGGGAACCCCATGGGCTGTGGCCCTACATGCTAGGCTGGGCACACAGGGCAACATGGGGCCTGATCCCAGCGTGCAGGAGCAATGTTGGGCCCCCGGAGTCCATTCCCTGCATGTGGAGGCAGTGTGGGGCCCTAGGGCTGCATAACTGCACACAGGGCCAGGTAGAGGCAACGTGGGGCTCCTGGTGCCTGATCGCTGCACACAGGCCTGGGCAGAGGTGGCATGGGGCCCCAGAGCCTGATCCCCAAATGTGGGACCAAGCAGAGATGGAATGAGGCCCAATCCTGCTGTGTGGAGGCAGGGGGAGACTAGCCTCATACTCATTTAGCCCGCAGGGCCAAAAGGTTGAGCACCACTAGTGCAGCCTAATAGCAGTTCTGTTTAACTGGGCCTTGACCTAAGGCTCACTAGAGTCAATTTTCATGACGTTAATTGGTCACAGGATCAGTACTTTGGGATAAATAAATGGCCTTTTAAGTCACTTAAGTAGGTAGGATCCACTGATGTGCTCCAGGCCCCTCAGGCTAGATGACATCATCTCATCTCTGCAGGGCTGCTAGAGACTTCATTGGCACAAAGCACCAATTGGGGTTACTTGGGGTCCTGCCCTTCACGAAGGGTTCAGCGCGAGTGCAGGACCAGAACTGTTTCCTTCTGAGCTGACATCGGCAGAATGTGGCTCTGTGCTGCTGCAGGGGTAGGGCAAGAAGAAATACACGTGATATGCCCTGGAGGGGGTTCTGAGGGATTTTAGAGAAAATAAAAATGCAGATTCAAAAAAAATTCTGTTCTGGCTAATATTAGCACAGCCCATATTTTCCTAACGCCTTACATACTGTTGTTCCCTTGCAGTCACCAATTTCAGTGCAGAAACCTGAGTGATTTAATTTAAAAAAAATGCACCAAAGCTAGTGCCCAGGAAATCTAATTTGAAGGAACCCTTCCCTTTCCACTTGACTACTAATTCACCAATGGCCCGATCCCAAACCCCAAGCACTCAGCATGGGTCTTTCCACCAACTTCACCATATGCTGGGTGAGACCGACTGCTCTTCCACCTTCAGTTTTCACAAGCAGAGCTAGTATGGATGACAACTGTGGTTCATGTAAGATTGTCCGGCTCTCACCCTGCCAGAAGCATAGTGCTGTCTAGTAAAACAACACTTGTAGAATGATAGGGGAAAAACCTCCCTTAAGTTTCTTTTTCTTTCATTTACATTGCAGCCCATAATAATGATTCATCTCCCCTGACTGGATGCAGCTATGATTTATATAAACAGTGCTAAGAAACCTCTAACAGATGAGGATAAAATATGACAGTGGAAGGAACAGGAAAGCAGTGATGGATGCCAGATGTTCAAGCGACAGACACTGATGCTAAACATTGCTGACTTTTTTTTTTTTGACTTGTGAACTGTGATGGACTTTTTAAAATTTTATGTCCACCAATGGAATCTGAAGGTTGCAGTTTTTCCTGAAGCAGGTTTAAAACTATATATTATTATGTGGAGTGTGGTAGTGCCCAGAAGCTTCAGATTGTGATGGGGATCCATTTGTAGGCACTGTCCAAAGACAAGGTATGAGATGGTTCCTGCCCTGAAGAGGGAGCAGTCAAAGGTGATAAGGGTAGGAAAAAGGCAGCGTTAAAGTTCCTTATGTTACAGATAGGAAATTGATGCATGGTAGCTTGGATAAAGTCACACAGGGAGTCTGGGGCAGAGCAAAGTACTGATGTCTGCCCCAGTATCTTAACCACAAGACCAACCCTCCTGCAATGTAAGTCAGTCAGTAAACAGATGCAGTATATGCAACAAACACATTGCAGGGCCACCCCTTCAAAGCAATGCTGATGTTCCATGACTAGAACAAAAAAAGCTGGCATTTCAGCATGCTCCACTGCTTGATGGTGCAGAACAGAAGCTGCAGTTAAGACACAAGAGAAAGGATTAAAAGCAAGCATACCTTGCTCTGTATCATGACTGCAAACATGCAAACTCATGACTGCAAACAAGCATATCTTTCTCCATCTCATGACTGCAAAAGCATTTGAGATGTAATACTAGCAAATATTTTACAAAAAGCTGTTTTGCTTTCTAAGGCTGCATTTAGCATATGGGAGGTGCAGGAAACAAAAATATGTGGAACACCTGAGGGCTGCTTCCTAACACCGTCTAAGAGAAAAGGAGCAACTACTCCAGCTCAAGTAGGGGAAGCTGGTTGGTAAGTGTGGAAACATGATAGACTGGAGAATTATAAGTACATATTGACATTTTCAGGTACTTATTTCCTATTATTAAGGAACCTGCATAAATCACTTAAATTGCAAAAAGGGCCAAGGACCTGTTTTCCCATTGGTTCCAATGGCTGCTGCGGGGTCTCAGCTACTCTGAAAATTAGGCATCTAAATACGCACACAGATACCTAAATTTAGACCCACAAGAGTTTGAAAACTGACTGAATGTGCCTGAAATTATTCACCCAAATCTGCACTTAACAATTTAAACAAGCGGCCTGATGTTCAGAAGCAGAGAGTACAGACAGCTCTTGATAAAATCAATGAAGTGACCCTCAGTGGACTAGAGGGGGCTCACGTAAAGAAAAAAGCAATGGATTTAAGTGCCTAACTCAAAAGTACCCAGATGGTACGCTTTGGCCAAAGATATTCCATTCTTAAATATGATATTTGAGGATTATAAAAAAGAATGAACCCTGTAGCTGCACTGTACTAGCCTTTATCAAGCCTAGCAAGCTTTAGCCAGCTAGCTCTGCATAAGAAAGTCAGGGCAGGGCCCTTGTTTCAGCGTGGTTGAAAACAGGCAATGCCACCTGTCAGCAGCAGTTTGAAATTTATGAGGCAACACATGACTAGTAATTTCTCTTTTGTCATCAGAGATAAAATAAGGCCCTAAAATACATGCAGCTGGGAAGCACCCCTTACTTTCAGCATTGTGTCCTAAACAGCTACTTGAGTACTACTACAGGCTCATTTTCGAAGTGTGGTCTTCTCCCAACCCAGATGGTTCCACTCAACACTGTCTCATAAAACATGATTTCGTTTTGGTGGTGCAAATCCAGCTCTTGCTGACCTTCCTGGAGCTAACAGCCAAAGTAAGAAAATGGAGCAAATAAATAGCTCCTTTCTACTTCTGCTCAGGTAGAATGCAGTGCGCTGAAGACCTCCCTTTCTTACATCCTTCAAGGGTCACAGGACCCTACAGTGCTGGAGTCACAGTTGCACGTTTCCTTTCTTCTCTGCTTCTGGCTAGGCCTAACTCCCCAGGGCAATCTAACTTCAGCACAACCTTGGCCTGATCTGCGCACAAGCTGTGCTCCTGTGTCATGGAAAAAGAGGCACCAACAATGGGTTTAGGAAAGCAAAATAGATTTATAGTGTTCTAACCATTTTTCTTTTCTCAAACTGCACCGTCAGACAAGACGGATGATTTTGTCATTCAAATGCTGAACCAAGGAGCGGACAATTGGCTTTAAGTCTAGGTCTAGTACAGACTTCTTGGGCAAGCCTGTCCTGTCTTTCATGCTTGTAGTGGGGACAGAGCTTTCTTTGATCAGAGCTGCGGTGTACTCTTACTATGGGTACAGGTAATGGAGCTGACCTCAGCAGGGTCCTCCATGTGTCACTATCATACAAATAAGAAAAATCAACTAATTCCTTGGTCTGGTCTTTGCATGTTTCTCATTAATGGAAAGTGAAAAAAACCCTCTCTGATTACGACACATTCCTTCTTCTCTTGCTATTTATCAGCCACTAGGACTTGCTGCAACTGAGGAATCGCTTCTACAGGGGATCCTAGATCTTTTTCTTCACTTTATTTTTATTCCCCATCCCCTTCAGTAACACCTCTTTCTTCTCACTGCTGGTTGTTAACAAGTGCTGTAAGCAGCTAATTTTATTTCAGTCAAACATTTACATTGCCCTTCTTCAATGCAACTCTCTATTCACCATTGAAATGAACTATTTTCCACTCCTAGCTGAAAGCCCTTGGGTATTTTTTCTACTGGTTCTTCTTTTATATTCAGGAGGCCTC